TTGAGTTTCGAGAGCTGTTTATGTCTTTTAGATACTAGTCCTTTATTAGACACATACTTTATAAATATTTCCTCCCAGTCTGCAGCTTGTCTTTTCCTCCTCTTCAAATGGGCTTTTACAGAGCAAAAGTTTTTCATTTTGATATTCAGTTTATCAATTTTTAAAAAAATTTTCTCTTCTGTTTTTAAAAAGTTTCCCAAGTCTGTGATCCATTTTAAGTTCATTTTTGAATAAGGTGTGATGTTTAGATAAAGGTTTTTTTTTTTTTTTTTTTGGTCTCTAAGTGTCCAGTTGCTCCAGCACCGTTTGTTGAGAAGACTGTCCTCTTCCGTTGAATTGCTTTTGCACCTTTGTCAAAAACCAGTGCGGCACCTATGTGTGGATCTGTTTCTGGGGCCTTTGCTCTGTCCCATGGACCTGTCACCCCCTCTGTTTTCCAGTGTACAGCACCAGACAGGAGTTTCTGTTCCTGACAACCATGCCAGAAATGGAGAGGTCGCCAGAGGAGAAGCACTTTCCTGAGGAACTAAAGGTGGGCACAAGCTGGGCTGAGGGCCCTCTCCCCTCAGACAGGGATGCAGCTTTGTGCAGGGAGCCTCCAGGGCATCCCTGCCTGTGCTCTCCCTTCAGCTGGCTTCTGCTTGTCGTCACATCCCGCTTTAGAGCAGTGGCTTATGTTACTCTTGTGTGCCTCACAGTGCTGTGCACATCGTGGGTGCTTTGTAAAAACGCTGGTTGTGCTGAATTCCTGACCAGCCGAGTGCGAGCCTCGCCAGGGGAGTCGAGTGTGCTGGGCAAGGTCAGGAAGAAACCAGGAGGGAAAAGAGATCTGACCCAGGATCATAGACTGTTAGAGTGGGATGAGGCCTCGGACAGCAGAGCAGACAACACAGCCTCTGAGTTGTACAAGTGAGAGAACTGAGTCTAGGGAAAATCCAAAATCACATGAGGGTTACTGGCAGAGCCCAAGATGTTTCTCTAGACGGGATGAGGGATGTGCTCCCAAAGGGCCATCTCATGCACTGAACCCCCGTTCTGGAACTGGAAGGGTGAAGTTCCACTTGTGTCAGAAGCACTGACATGGACAGAGCAGGCCCGACAGATGTTTATCAGCCTAGAATTAAACCCTAGAGAAGGGCACAGCTCCTGTCCATGGCCTTTAGGGTAAGGACAAATTAAAACCCAGTTAAAATAGAAAGCATCTACCTGGTCATGGTAGAGTGCTTTTGGAGTTTACTTTTTGCAGGATTTTGATGTGATAGAGATCAAGTGCAGAACTCTTTAAGACAGCCCAGGAATGTTGCTTTTAGGTTGAGACATCCCAGGGCAAGAATAGAATGTGGATGGATTCTAGAGACAAAAAGCCACAAAAACCTATAGAAAATAGGAGGGTGACTTTAATAGGAAAGGCAAGGAAATCAGTGTTTAGTTACACAGATAAAGAGGAATGCAGTGGTAGGGTAGGCTTTCTGCAAAGTGTTTGAGACAAGGGCCCCTCTAGGACACCCCTGTGCAGGAGAGGACTATCACCCTGGCAGTCACTCTTGGAGACAGAGGGATGCTCTTCCTGCAGGCCAACAGGAATGTGGCTGGGACGACTGCACCTGAACGTGCTTTACACTTTGCAGTGCACCTTATGGGTTTTAATCTGCTTGGGCCTCGAGCATCCCTCCGAGGTGTCAGTATTTTTATTCTCAATTTGCAGTTGGAAAACATGAGGCTCAAGGAACTTTGCCTGCTGGCTTAGACTTTGAACCAGTGTCCTTTGTCCCCTTCCGTTCCCATGCTATCCAACTGATTCTCATAAATCTCAGATTTGAGGTGAAGGAAATGGGGGAGCAGTCGTCAGATGTAACATCCTCTGAGACCAGGACTTGTTAGATGACAGTAAAACTCAGCATATGCTTTCCCACAGGAAAGGTGGCTTATTATGGTGGTCAGGCTCCACAGCTTACCTTTCAAAGTTTATTTTGTGCATAATGTAGCTGAATGGTTGAATGGAAAATAATTGAAAGTAACGTCAGTCATTAAAATTGGTTTTCTGTATTTACAAAGGGAAAACATAGAAAATGAAGCTAGTTGGTAAACACAGTTGAACAACACTTTTTTTGTTTTGTTTTGTATTTAATGCCTGAGCTTGAAGAAACTATCCCACGATGCACAGCTCTTGAGTGCCATCTGTGGTTGGGGTTAGCTTTGAGGTTTGAAAGGCTGGGACAAGTGAGCAGAAGAGAGAGGGCTGTCTCGGGGTAAGTGAGCAAGAGTTGGGATCGATGAGGGATTGGGGTTAAATTAGTCACCTTCTTGTCAAAGCCAGGACAGTGCCTGGCGTGGTTCCTGGAGTTCTGTGCAGGGCACAGGGCTGTGCTGAGACCCCTGATGGGAGGACAAGGATGCTGGGCAAAGGGCCAGAGGTGCCCCTCTCTTGCCAAGTGCCTTCACCTCAGGAAGTAGGGTCCTGAGGTGGCTTTAGAGGTGGCTACAGGTTCTTGTTAACAATCCCCAGGACAGTCTTCCCTTCACAAGGGAATCCCAGGAAATTCAGTTAAACCCTTGAGGGATAAAAGAGCATCCTGGATGCAGGTGGTTTGAGGGAGTTTGGTTGCTGTAGATCCAAGGAAGGGAGAGCAGGGAGCAGGTGGTAGGGCAGGAACCTCTGTTGTCCCAGTATTTCCAGTATCCTTTTTCTGGGGTATTCTAGAAGGCTTACATCCTTTTCCCCCTTTTGTAACTGACCCAGTCCCCAGGATGGGCAGGTTGTTACCACTGCCCCATAAATGGATTGCCTGGCAAGCCTAGTGTGTTTTAAAAGGTATAACAAGGGCGTTTGGTCCATTCAGTAAAGTTAATTTGGAGAGACCGTCTACTTTGAAATCTTGGGAGAAGTCCTGTGTAGCTTTAAGGAAAGTAATAGACATAGCAGCAGAAGCATTTCAAAATGCTGAGAAACGGCCACACTGGAGGTGGCCACAGGAGTGGGTTGGGGGAAACAGTCTCACTGTTTGAAGTGTTTTCTGGATGCTTCTTGGAGAACTAGGTGACCATGACGTGAGCGAGGGGATTTAACTCATTGAGGATGGGGTCTGGGGTGTCATGGAACAACTCTGATATGCGCCAGTGCATCTCCCTCGTCCCCTCCGTCCCCTTCCCGCCTCCCCTCCAGCTTGCGTGCACGTGCAGTACGTGTGTATACATGCCCACACACCACGCCACACGTGTTCTTACTCAGCTGAGGCTTTCCCGGGTGTCTCTACAAGAACCTGTAACCACCTCCAAGCACAGACAAAGCCTTGACAAGTAGTTGGGCAGCAAACAGGACTGCCACCCACGAGAGCAGGAGACATTTGCACTGAGTGTTACCCAAGGCCTCTCATGTTACAGGTGTCCTCTTAGGTTCTAAAACAGCCCAAAGGGTGTGCGCCATCATTTGGAACCTGAGCTTTTTGTCTTTTTCTGTTTGTTAAATCCGCCTTCTCTCAAGAAGGAAAATCCAGTGATCCAGGTTTTTCCTTTTTTTTTTTTTTTTTTTTTTTTTTTTTTT